TTGGAGGACTTTGAGATCGTCTGGTCAGCATTTTTCAACCTCCTGAAGTCTAAAGGCAGCTTCACCTTTGACAGCAATGTCCTAGACAGTATTTACTTTGGGTCTACCAACAGGTTTTTTTCATTTCAAACAGAAACTGTACTTAGCTTTCAAAGGCTGATGATTCTCCTTCAGTTAATGTTACTCCTGGGGCACTAAAAATGACAAAAAAATCTCCCCCAAGTGAAAATTGTAGAATTCGGTCACTAGCGCAAGGGCAAAAAAATGATTTGGTTTCACCTAGCCAAAGTATTAATGGTTTAATGGGATGGAGCTCTCCAACCCTGCCGTCTCATCCAGACACTCTTTGCTCAACCACAGGGACCTATTTCCTGCTGCCACTCAGTGTCCCCAGCCAGAGCTGGTGAACCTGCATCTTTCTGCAGCATTCTCAACTTCTTGTCATATTTTCAGCCCACAAAACACAACCTAAACTAATGCTCCAGCTGGTTCTGTTGCTTTTTTGTTCTTCGCAAGAGGTTCTACCCACAGTTTTTTCCTGTTGTAGCTTTATTTTGTGTTTCCACAAAGTGCTTTTCTGGGTTCATGTCAATGCTAGGAATGTAGAGTCAGAGCAACACATGGAGTTTTGAGGCAGACTCCACAGATGGGTATTTGAGAGCTACACCACGAAAACCTGCTCTGCAACTCTTGAAGTTAACCAGGACCTGACAGGACAGCTTAGAATTTAAAGCAGATGTATCACAGGAGCATTTTCCACTGATTTTCTCCCAAATACTTGTGCTCTGAGCAACTGTTCCTCCTGTCTTCCCCTTAGCTGCCTTGTTGCAACATTTGCAGCTTTACAGACAGGTCCTTATTTAGCCAACCAGCTAACAGAAACACAGCTTTCCATTGAAGGCTAATTTAAAATCTCTCAAGCACATGTACTCAGCTGTTGCAAAATTATGCCACTAAGTGCAATAGGCTCTGTCATTTTACATCAGCTGAGAATCTACTTGCGAGGGCAAAATAAGTGGATGCAGCTGCAGTTCTATTCCTTGGGAGTTGCCCCTCGTACGCAACTGACTGCAGGTGGCTGAAAGATGGTATTTAAAAAGGACAAGCTTTAATTTTTTTGGGTTTGGGATTTTTTTATTTTTATTTGTTTGTTTTTTTAATTGATGTATCCGGTGAAGGTCATTCATGTGCTCTCTCTGATAGCTGCCTTGGGCCTTTAACCCATCATACTCTTAACACAGAGGAACTGACATGGATGGAACTATCTTAGAAAACAGATTACCAGATCATAAGCGAAACATTAACTCTCATGCCATGTTGTGTGGCAGAAAGATAAAATTGAAAATGTGACCCCTTTTTTCTTCAAATAATATAGTGCCATTCAATCGACTTAATTATCCCTAAAGACACATCTAATAATTGCTGGCCTGTCAATCAAAACTCTTATTAGACACGCACATGACGTCACATCACAGTCTAACAAATCTTCCTGCCAGTCAAAAGGCTTTATATAGATAATCTGATTTTGAAGGCAGGTTTTTTGTTTGACCTTTCACCCAACTTCTTGAGGGCTGGAATTGGAAAGGAGCTGAGTGTGTGCTACAGAATTGCAAGGATGGGCTCTGGGCTGTTCTTTCAAGTTCCCCCCCCAGCCACATTCTGCTTTATGCTGCAGAATGGAACCTGGAAAGCAGGCTCTGCCTTGGATGGCTGAGTAACCTGGGGTGGGTTTGCATAGCTACAGCAGAATTCTTCACGCCCTTCTTCTGGCCTGTCTGTACCACAGTGTTAATTCCTCGCCTGCTTGGGGTATCACAAAGCCATGCTTCATTGAGGCACCTGCACCAGGTTTTGAGATGATAACAGTCCATTCCCTGCACACTGTGCATACCCACTGTGCTGCTGTGGCTATGCAGCCATAACAGTGATTGCTGTGCTGGGGAAATCCCAGAGCCTTTTTTCCCAGGAGGTAATACCTGCCTTGCTAAGTGAGAAGTGTGAGTGCCTGAGCAGAGCAGGCACTGTACTGACTGCCCAGGGAGTTTGCCAGCGTGTGTGTCAGGGTGCCATGGGAGAGAAGCGAATGCACTAATAATTACTGCGATTTAAAAAGCAGCTCCATGCAGAATTCTCAGAACAAACAGACAGGCACGTCAAACTGCTGTACTGCGCACTGCTCAGGGTGCCATTGTGCCACACTGAGCAGCTCTGGACTGTCACACATACTGTATACGCTGCTCTGTGCCTGCCCAGCTTGTGACAGGCTTTGGAGATGCCAGATTCCCTATGCTAGCAAGTGCAGGTTAACGCAGATATTGCATGTATTCAAGGCATCCCTGCAAGTGCAGCACCAGATTCATAGATGTAAATATGAAATTATCAGTGTCAATAGCTTTCAATTCTTTCTCAAATGGTGTTTGTTGGAAAGCAATTCATGACATATCTGGTTGCTGGAAAGATCACCTGTTCTGTTGGGGTCTCTTACTTCTCTCCCCATTCCCACAAGCCCAGGCAACTCTGTTTCTCATCTTTACAAGGAGGAACCGATGTTGTAAGATTATGATTACCCCATCGCGCTTGACACCCTCTACAATGTTTAAAGTGAAAAAGGTTATGATTTCCTAGTGGACCTGGCAGGCAAGTCAGAGCATGGAGAGACTGCACCATTGCAAAACACTTGTCAAGACAGTGGTGTCATACAAGGCTTTTTGATATCTGCAGCTGGACATCAGATCTGAAGAGGTTATAAATTTATTTACTGATAATGCATCAAGCTTCTTGTACTCAGCTGTACTGCACTTCAAGTCTCTTTTGAACAAAAGCAAATGGCAGAGACTGATGCTTTCAAGATAATATCATTTGCCTCTGAAAATCTGCTTTTTAGATGTCAGGCAAAATAATTTCACAATAGCTAGTAAAGATCTTGTCTGGCATTGCTGTATTTTTACTGGTCTTGAATGTAACTTGAAAATATTAAGAACTTATTGTAGTGTTCAATTTTCTATTGATTTTTCAGACAGTCTTATAGCACAAATGATAAAAATGCATGTAATTAGACATCATTGCTAAAGCTGAGAGACTATGGAGAAAGCCACACAGCAAGCTTCCTCTGCATGTGAACATCAAAGTGCTTCCCAGATTCCTGAACTACAGGTGAACTCAAAGTCAGCAGAAAAAGTTTCAGTAAACAATGAGAAAAAAAGCACTGCCTTCATGTTTGAAGGAGACATTTTCCCTTCTGAAAGAAACTAAAATCAAAATGTCACATCTGCAGGACAAAGTTGTTGTATAGAGGTTGGCCCTGCAAGCATCATCTTGCAGAGCCAGTATAAATGGCTTCAATGCAGCTCTCCTTCCTGAAGATTACTCACAGAAAAGAGCATTGCTCACACGTTTTTTCTGGTTCAGAGGCAATTCAAAAGTTCTAGGTGATTTTCAGCTATCTTTCTTGGAAGTGGTGTCTACTAATGCAGCACTAGTTAACTCCTGTGGCAATGACCAGCTGGTTCAGTGGACCAGCCTATGATTATCCCAACATTAGGATGGCAAAACCTTTACCCCAGAACCCCAAATTGTGTCAAGGCTTTGTGTTCGCAAGCATCTGAATGTGCTTTTCCTATTCTGCTTTGTCTTCAGTCCTCAGTGAAAACTGTTTCTTCTTTAAAGCTGATAGAGTTTAACAGTTGTCCTTGCAGTTAAAACAGCAACAGGAAAAACCTAACCAACCAAAAGCAGCGACTGAGGTTTTATAAAGCTTTTGTTGAAATAAAGATAATTCGAGTCATTCTCCTCTGATTCACCCATAGCTCATGTACAAGCAATCCCCTTCCACAGAGGAATTATACTGCACTCAATCCCTAGTAAATGCAGCTGATGAGATGCCTCCACTGACCCTCCATCATGGCAGCATCTCTCCCAGCCTGACCCCAGGGCATGTTGGTGTTGACAGCTGTAATTCAGCATAATTCTGCTTGGTACACAGGCTGCCGTGTGTCCAGGGGCTCATCAGGGATGAGCAGAGAGTTTATGAACTTTCTGGAGCTTGCTTCCAAAATGCCTCCTGCTCAAATGTCATAAAGAAGTCACTGGTTCTTACTGGAACAATCTTACTCCTTTTAGCTTGGGGTTCAAGCTTTAAGCTGCGCTTCTCTGCCTTGCTCTTGGAGAAAGGGGAAAAGCTGGAGACTAGAAACATTCTGCAGGACCTATGGTGAACCATAAAAGCAGTCTTCATTTTTTCTGGCTGATAACTCCTGAAATCTTGGTACAACAACTGCAACGATATTGAGGTGCACAACATTGCAGGGGGGCCAAAAAGTCATGTCATTGTCAGTTTTACTTTAATATTTTTTGCTGTGTTCCTTTAGAAGATCTGTGAATTCTATATAACCTCTGTGACTGAAGAGTTAAAGAGGCAGCACATTGTGGCTCTACATCCACTGCTAAGTCACCTTTAGTCTGGGATAACACAAGTTTGTGGTGGCTCCGCTCTTAGGATGATATCTGCCCCTTGTAATATTTGTTAGATCCTATAGAATCCCTTTCTTATAATAAATTACATCTTCTTAGTGATATGTGATTTTATACAAATATTGTAGTCTTTACTGAATGATGTCCATGGATATGGGGAGGAGAGACAAGTGAAATGCATTCTTCAGCTGTTGCCTAGCAGGACATGTCTTCATTGAGAGATGTTTCTTTTTATTAACCTCTTACACAAACAACAAATCTTTATTTAATTCTTTTATTATAGCTTGATGTTACCATAAAACAGCAAGAAACAAAGAGAAATCTCCATGCAAGAAAGAAGGCACGACACCCTGTCACTGAGGATTTACAGCTGTTTGGAAGTATGCTTAATTCAAACAAGAGTGGAGAAGTTAACCTGCTAACTAAGAGCAGGTTAACACTAAAAGGGATTTTTTCTGCTCTCTCCAACCCTGGCCATGAGGTCCAATTGCCCCTTTTGTGCTGCTTCTATGCAATGTGTTGGATCACTGTAAGATGAAATCATTGTTCCATAAGATGACTCACATTAGAAAGATGTACCCTGAGACCCTATCATTAAATCCCCCAGAAGTGGTCCTCTAAAAGTCCTCCTCTTAAGGGTGCCAGAATTGTGAAAGCAGAAGGTATTTGCATCTCCCCTGAAGACCTGGTCCCTCCATCAGCCCTCAGAGCAGTTTGCTGACTAAACCTTCTACGCATTTGAATAATTTAACATATGAATAAATTCATTTATGCTGAATGAAGAGGTGGACTACTGGGATGCAGTAATGCCAACACAACAAAATTGAAGCAGGGGAGGTAGAGGAAATGAACCCGTAACAATGGCAAGCGGTACTGTCTGCTCAGGCACCAGGAGACAGCTGTGACCACATCTGAAATACAAGAGTGTGGGGAGGTATGGAGCAGCATCTAAAAAGGGCTTTAGAATAAGCAGAGCTGAGCAAAATCCAAGCTGGATTTTCTGAGCTGCAAGAAATGTGATTGTTACAGAATGACTGAAAACTTAATTGCAAGTTTTATGTCTCATTCCAAATTTTCCAGTTCAGAAAGTACATAAGTAACATTCCCATGCCTTTTACTTTCCACTGGCAGTTAAGAAATAGAAGTCTCAGCTTCTGCCAAATGATCTGTCACACCAAGCCCTTGACTTCGGCAACTCATAGATGCACATTACAGATGCATGCAGCACAAAACCTGAAAACATTAAAAGCCAGATCTCAAGTAGTGTAAACTGGCATTGGTCCAGCTTACACCAGCTGCTGATCTGCTCTGTGAATGTCTTAGAGCAGTAACAGTTGGAGGGATGATGGTTTGCATTCACTAAATGCTGATGAGGGCTACCTAACTAGGCATGCTTTGCTCGCATTCGTATATTAAGCATTTTTAAAATCCCTCTTTCTTCAGCTGTTCTACAAAGAAATCATTGCATGCCACAGTCAAAGCAGCAACCAGAATGACGAATTCATGAAAGTCCACTTCATTATCTTTGTTGGAGTCCAGATCTTTCATAATCTTATCAATCAGATGCGGGTCCTTTTGTCCCTAAAGAGAAAGAAAAGTGACTTAGCTGTACAGATCTTGAATGAGCAGCTCGGACACACCTGGCAGTGCAACCCACTGCTATTTTACAAGCCCCGGTGCTATTAAATAAGAGGCCGCATGCAGTATGCACCTGAATATTAACATGCCACTAGCCACAGCATTAAAAACATAGGTCTAGAGTCCCAAAAGTGCACAGCAATGTAAACCAAAGACAGCACAGCTTTTGGAAGAAATACAGGTACTATATAAGCACTGAAATGAATCAAACGGATTCATGAGCTGCTAAGCACTGCTTTCTTTTGACAAGATGAAACTATAATGTGCATTTCTCTGTATCATCTGTAAACAAACAGTACTTAGTTTTTCAATCTGACCATAAGTGGTAGTATTATACACCCATTCATCACATTCGGAAGATCTTTACTTAGGAAAAACCACATCCTATTCGGTGTGAGTAAAAACAGCGAATGTTGTAATAATCAATCAATAGCCAAGGTTAAAAGAAAATCCAATCCAAGGAAATGGACATTATGTAAAAAATGCTGCTGATGATTATAAAGTCCACAACAATTTTTACAGTTAAGAGGATACAGAAAGCCAACTATGAATCTGGTCATTGTTCCATTAAAAGCACCCATGCCGTGTAATGCAGAACATAACAAACATGCAAACAGATATTCAGATCAACAGCTCACCGCTGAAAGAGCTTTCTTATCATCTCTGTGCAGGGCATACAAGGAGCTGTACTGTGTCTGTAGCTACTGTGCACAAGCTACTTTCTTGTCTCATGAGAACTGGTTGCTGGATTTAATTCTTTGAAGGACTTACCTGTATCTCATTATTAAAAATGAACAAATTAACAAAAAATTGATTAAAGCCTGTTTTAGCATAAATTTTGTTATTATTTCTAGGCAGCCTTTGTCCTCCTGCTATGAAGCACAGAGGAGTAAGTAGAGCAAGGTACAGGAGGTACCTGTCTCTGTTGCTGGTGGCACAAGGCAGAGCACTGGGGCTGGACAACCCTCTGAAAGAACACTTTCCTAAGGGGACCTTGATCTCATCTCCTTCTGTCTGTAGGATGTGCCTTTCAGAAGGAGGTCCTATTCCTGAACACTCGGGTAGCTGCTTCTCCCACCCATGAGGCTAAATCAAGATTTTCAGGAGCTGTGTCTTACTGAAAGGAAGTCAGTGAGCTCGCTGGTGAGGAGCTCCTTGAGTTCTCCTTTACTGAGCTTGTATCTGTCTCCTTCTTTGCCAGAGTAGTGATGGAAAATCCTGATCAAGGTGTCCATTGCATCCTCCAGAGGTGTGGACATAACAACGAGAGGGAGATCTGTAGGGTAAAGACCCAGAGTCATTGTGAAGGAGCCAAACCAAAGGCTGATCTCAGGGAAGGGGTGGAGAGCTAGCTGAAGAAAGAAATTGTCACCAGAACTGAAAAAAAGAGTTTTCAGTGATCCATTCTCACAGCTGTGTGTGACCAAGGATAGACTGTTAAAAACAAAGCATTGCCGTGAACTCAATCGCAATTGCTTCAAAAAGGTAAATGGAAAGTCTTTATAAGACAGTGATCTCCTGTGCGTCATTTTGCAAAGCTACTGTAAAATGAAATGTCTCATACCCGTAGCTGAAAGCACAGGAAAAATGAAGGCACAACCTCCTATCTTCATTCAGAAGTTTTCTCAAGAAAATAAGATCAAGAAATAACAGCAGCCGAAGTGGATGAGTTATACAGAATGCTCCACACCAGTTTCTTAAATCGTTAGAGGAAAATCACCAGTAATAAGTATAGAAGCATCAGCTTTTGATTTATGCAGTTGTGTTTGCTTGGGTTGACGTTTTTTCTTGTAAATGGCCTGAAATAAACACGGCTAGGCATTGCTGAGGGTTTACTTCATAGAGCATGCAGTAAGAAGGTACATAGGGAGGCACCACCAAGAAAAAAGATGAAAGTACAATTAGCTGCTGAGTAGCTGACTCAAAAACTAACTTAGAATAGAAATCAGGTGAAAGGGAAACATTATGTTGATTAAGCCCCAGGAGAGAGATTAAAAAGCCAGAATGAAATTCAAGGTAAGGCTGGAGATGTGAATGATATCACTGTGCAAAGGCTAAGACTTACCTGCTTATGGGGTGGCTGAGGTGTTTGCCAGAAAATGCTCAGATCACAGAAGATGATGGTCACCTTCCTTTCAAAACCTGTGCACAGACTGTTGTTTATCAGGCTGAGAAGGTGGATTACATATATAGAGACAGACGTATAACTGTCACAAGGATGATGGGGCTTCTGTTTCCTTCTGCATTTGCCTACTCTGCTCAATAAAAGTCGCTTGCTGTAAATGGGTCACTAAAATATTCACTAGGCAGGGCAGAGGCTGTGTGTGGAAAATAGGAGCTGTTTCTTATCATTTGAGCTTTCACAGATATGCTCATCTGGGGGCCTGAAGATCAAAATCAGAAAAATCCAACAATCACCATGTCAGTACAAACCAGCTTTCACTTATATGGCCAAGAGCCTATGTGGGTAGCAGCAACCAGTTGGTGTTCACAAAAATACTCGGGTACTAGGGGTAGGTTTGTAAGTGAGCTTGCCACAAATCCCTGGAGACATCTGCCTTTATTGTCAGATGTCTCTGTGAGCCTAAAACGTTGGCTTTGCTGAATGAAATTCCTGCTCTACTACATGCATCCTCAGGGGGAAATGAAACCAGTTTCAGGGGAAGCTGTGCCTGAAATTACAGTGTGCACTGATCAACAGGCTTGGCTTCATTTTTATTATTCCTGCATAACAACTGCAGTTCAGCATCTCTGTTTTAATAATCTTCCCCCAGAAGGGCTTCCTCTGCTCTGAAACCCAGGGACTTGTTGACCCTGGGGGCAATGGCTGTAAGAAAGACGCATGGCAGAGCCGACTTCCAAGTTGACCCAGAATTCCAAGTAACCACATAACCACAGTTTTCACAACAGCCACATGAAATGGAAAACTGCTTAATTTGTGTTTTCTTTCCCTCAATAAAGCCTTCTGTCTGCTGTACACAGCAAGCACAACTGTGCAGAAAAACAGCAAGAGGCTACAGAGCTGCAGCTCATTCTTTCTTTTATGCCAGGAAAGAGAATGAGATGGGCACTGTTTTTAGCTCTGAAAGTCTCCTGTCACTTGTAGATTTGAGTGCCCCAGTAGATCTCATCCCGCATCTCTGACTGCTGCCTTTGCTTCCAGACACGTTTCTTCTGTCTCCACCATTATGACAAGTCTCCACAACCTCAGGGGTCTTGGCTCTGTCTCTGGGAGAAGGGGGAGGAAAAGGGGGGCTACATAAAAATACTGGATCCAGTGGTATGAGAGGTGATTATGTGTAAAGCATTGCTCCTGAAAGAGTAGGATGGCTCTTCTGGTTAGAGGTCCCTGCCTGCATGCACCACGCTGCATGCAGGGCATAGGCCTTCACCTCCCATCGCTGCAGTCACGAGTGCTCACCAGGGATGGGGGAAGCCAATGCTCAGATAAACTTCAGAAAAAGCTGAGGTGGAAATCAGCTGGAAATGCTGATATGCAACAAGAAGAACCTAATTCCTCCTGGAGTCAGAGGAGAGCTGGGGAGGAGAGTTGCTCTGCGTTTGGGAATAGTTGATGAATGCCCAGTTTTACACAGATGGGAGTCCCTGTGCACCAACAAGTGCAGGCATCTAGCTGAACCATATGTAGCATGTGGGAGAATAACATGGGTGACACCAGATGCAGCACAGCTCTCCCACTCAGATGCTGGACATTGTCTGAGTCTTTGCAGATGCTAATTAAAAGCATCTAGTCTCTTATGTAGTTAGTTACAGCCATGCAGGGCTGTGTATTGCTTGTGATTCACTAGTGCTTATAATTACTGCACAGAAATACTAACCAGATAAACATCAAAATACTGTATATTTTTGCTGTTTATTCAAAAACAGTTTCACCCACAGAACAAAAAACCATGGCTGCGTCAATACGTAAGTATAAAGTCCTTCTGTTTGTCTATATATTACATTGGTTCTCTGGTTGATGAATATTGCAAATTAATTATCTAAGCAGAGTCTACAGGGGGTACAACTTCCACGAAGCAGGTATAAACTTTCAATGCTACCATTCTCAGGACTAAAGAAAGGTTTCCTTTATCATCTGCCAGGACATCAGCTCAATAATTTATATAGTGATATAATCTGTGCAATCTCTTTCAGTAGCTACTTTCACTCCAGCTAACTGTGTAAGAAACTACTCCACAACAGTGGATTACTTGTATACAGGAGATGGACGCACTCTGTCCAGAGGTGCGTCCAATTTGCTGTGTCCATCCCTTTCCTCCCTGGCTAGTGAAATCATGTCAGTGGCTTCAGTGGCAGCAGAGAACTCCTAACTCCTGTGAGGGCAGGTCCCAGAGACTACACAAAATGCATGATTATCAATCAGCTGGTTTTAATCTTTGTCCAAACCTCCAGCACAATTTGGTTTTGTATGGTACCTAATGGGCACTGTATGATAAATCAATGCATCCTGTGAGCACTTCTGTATCAAGGCAAGATCCAGCTCCATGACAGCAACAAGCATTCTTCCATCAACCCTTCCTCCCCTGAATTCTGACTTCCACAGGCTAAACACAGAAGCACCACCAGACGCACGGTTGTCAGAGGGAGTAGGACTGCAGCACCTCGGATTCTGTGTTCAGTTCTGGACTCCTCACTACAAGAGAGACACTGAGGTGCTGGAGCAAATTCAAAGGACAACGAAGCTGGTGAAGGGTCTGGAGCACAAGTCTGGTGAGGAACAGCTGAGGGACCGGGAGTGGTTTAGTCTGCAGAAAAGGATGCTCAGGAGGGACCTTATTGCTCCCTGTAACTACCTGAAAGGAGGATGGAGTGAAGTGTGTTTTGGTCTCTTTTCTGATACAAGAAGAGACAGGGCAAGTGGAAATGGCCTCACTGAAAGGATAGTAAGGCACTGAAACAGGCTTCCCAGGGACATGGTGGAATCACCTTCCCTGGGAGTGTTCATAAACTGTAGATGAGGCCCTTAGTGGTTTATGGTGGACTTGGCAGTCCTGGGGTAATGACTGGACCTGATGATCTTAAAAGTCTTTTCCAACCTACCTGATTCCATGATTCTGTGATTCTGTGACTACAGACATGGTGAGGATTGGTGCTCACTCATTCATGACCAAATTTTGTCCATCAGAACCTGCCAAATCATGGCAGTGTTGGTGGGAAGGTACCTCCGAAGGTGCCTAGTCCCACTTCCTGCTTGAAGTGGGATGATCACCATTGCCAGACCAGGTCAGTGATGGCTTTATCTAGTTAACTCTTGAAGACCTCCAAGGATGGGATTGCACAAGTTCTTGCATAACTTGATCCAGTGCTCTACTACTTACCTGGGGAAGATGGTTACCTTAATATCCAGTCTGAGCATCCCAAGCTGCAGACATAGCCATTGGCCCTTTTTGCATCACCTACCACTACCATAAAGAGTTTAAGTTTGTTGACTTTACAAATTCTCTTCAAAGAATCTTGGCACCTTACTCAAACTCAACAATAAAGTTAGAAGTAACCTGTTCCCTGATTCACCCAATCTGGTTTTAGTGGTGTTTTAGTGTTCCCTTTATGTTACGTGCTTGCCACTTGTGGACTGCTCCAGCTGTTCCTTCTCCTAGTGAGTATTTCAACATTAAAGTGTGCCTTGCAGAATCAATGGCTGAAGGGTAATCAAAAGCAGAAGGGTAGATTTCTCAGCTGGCATGGGACAAATGCTCTATAGGTCCGAACTCTGCCATCTTCATTCAAGGAGTAATAGATGCTTACGGAATGAGTCAGACATCTGATCTTACCAGAGGCTGCTGAGAGAGGCAGAGGTTGTTCCTTGCTCTGTAAACGTGAGAAAGACTCAACGAGCTATGACTGCTTCCTTTAACTTTGGTTGATGTAGGGAAGAGATACACCCAGCCGGGAAGCTCACTCGACTGCTTCTCCCCTCCCACATGGGGCAGGCAAACTAAAAGCAGAAAATCTTATTGCTGGTCTCATCTCCCTCAAAAAAGCTGAGCAGAGTTCTGCTCTGTGTGAAAGCAGTCAGGCCATGACATAGGCCAGCAGCTTTTCTCCTCCACAGCTGGGAAGGAGAAGCTTTGGCTTCTTCACTGGAATTTTTCCTTCATCTCTTCTTGAGACAAGGTAACACAGGCTTACTTTAGAGCCAGAGCAGCCTAGAAAGTACCAGTCTAAGCCACAGTAAAATACTGCTCAGCTTAAGTGGGAGGATCTCATACTTAGGGCATCTGGTTTTCAACATTTGCCAGAATTCATATGGTGAGTATTTTCTCACAGATCATAATTGCGCTGGGAAAGGCAAGTCAGCCTCCCACCCACATCCTGTCATTATTTATTTTTCCCAAACGCACACTGTTTTTGGGATGCACGTGTTTTGAGTCAATGTTGCACCCCCAGAGTGGCAAATGGTGTGATGGGAAGCAACAGGGAACACTGCAAAGCTCAGAAGGACCGATACATTAAAAGCTTACATTAGATTAAAGCCTAGAGTAGTCTAAAGATTTTATTAATACAGACTAAGCGTATAAGAGCTTTATGTTCAAAATACATTTGAACCAGTATTTTTTGTTGAGTTAAAATAGGCATGTTTACATTTTTAGGATTATTATCATTTGCATTTATGTTTTGTTTCCATATATGAGTGGTTGATTGGTTCATCCATTTACATCAGGCATGCTTCCCTTCCCCACAGGTTCTTGTTCACATCTTTAAGACTTTTTTAACCCCTGTGATTCCACAGCCAGCAGAAGAACAAAGGGCTATTAAAGCTCTTGTCACCTAAATTCAGTGGTTTACTCTGTAGGTATCTTTTTTAATGGGTTACACTTCCAGGGCTGCCCAACTGAAGGACATTCTGATCTCGTTCTCTGCTGAGCCCTGTTTTGGACAAGATTGTACACTTCTTTTCCACATACGTAAATAACTTTTTTAATTGAAATGTCCAGTTCATTGAACTCTGCTTGTTCCCATAGAGGTTATTTCTCTTGTGATACTTGTTTAGGACAGAAATTGGAGCATTGTCTGTACATGAGGTACTGACCTACTGCTCCCTTCTCCTCACAGAACATCAGCCACCATTTCCTCCCCTGTGAGAAACCACCCGTTACTATGATATGAAGGCAACATCAAGTTGCATAGGAATGTACTGCTATCTGATAAATAGCCTAGATTGCCTTCATTAGCCCTAAACTGGAGTTATGAAGTGACACTCTAGCTCTAAAATTCTTTCTTCCTCATAAGCCTCTGAAGCAGATATATGTATCCAGCTGTGTTTCAGCCATTTATTACTTTAATGTAGTCTATTTATGCCAAGCCTG